AGAAATGTACCAAGGTTTTTTAAAGTACATGCATAGCCGTTCTACTGCTGGTTAAACCTTTTGTTTAGCGGACACATCGACGTATCGGTATAGGGGATTTGCGCCCCGTTTACACTATGTCGGATAATTTGAAAACGCAGCTTTATTTCTACAGTCAGGCCTACCGTCCACACTTATCCGTCACGAAAACGGAGCTTTCCGTAAACTCTCTTCAAACCGGAGGAATTTGAAAACGCCGGCTTTGCGTTTTTGTGTGATGGACGAAAAACATTTCGAAAACGGTGCTCTTCGAAAACAATGAAGTCACGGTAATCATGTGATTTCCTTGTTCAAGTTTTCCTCAAACACAAATCCAAAATGACCGGTGATTGTTGCGTTTTCAAATTTCTCCGGCGTAATGTGGACGGAAAACATTTGATGCGTTTTCAGAGTGAAAACACCGTGTTCAAATTTCTCCAGTGTATTGTGGACGCGACCTTGAACTATAAGAACGACCAAAACCATTTTCATAGTGGATGACCCAGATCGATTCCCCATAGCTAATGTTTACCAGGTTTCAGTTTTCACAATTTCCTTTAAACTATTCTTTCCTGGAACTTCAAAACCAGACTTTTCCTTCCGAATATTTTCTCCCGCGTTACTACGTTCATCGAAAGTAATTGGACTTTCGATTTCATTTTTTTTACTTCATCATTAATGTTGCATCATCCTTGTACATTAAACCAAGTTTTAAATCGAGTTTTATTTGAAAAAACAACGCTTCGCTATATACAAGCATTTTCTCTTGACTGTAAATAAAGTGTAAAATATACAAAAGGCAGCTTTAATCAAATTTGATATATGGCCTTTTGATGGCTTCGAAAATAACGCCGATTCATTGTTAAAGATGGCTTATTCCTTTAAGGATACACTAAAAAGTATTTCTAATTTTCAAGAACTGCAGTGCTGTGCGCTACAATGTTAAAGAAAAATTAATGATTTTAAAAATACGGATAAAGTAATAAAACTTATAAAAAAAACCTGTTCTTGTCTTACACAAACAGTTCTTTAACTTTCAAGTCAAAGTCTAGGAGACAAGGTCTTTTTGTGAACATTTTTTCCTATTTCTACTGTGAACCAGGATTCTTATAAGGAACACAACAAATCTGTATCTAGGGTCCCTTATGCAATGATTAAGGAAGTAACAATAACCCCCTCTCGTCGCGTCAACTATTTCAGTAATTACTACGATTTATCTTATTAGAGCAGTTTTGAACCGAGTGTCGTAAAGTTAAAACCCAAGTTATAACTCTAACCAATCACAAAGGACAAAGACAAACAGTAAACCAATCAAAACTCGAAGTAATTACAAGTAGCTGACGCAAAGCGCGGGAAAACGCGTGCGAACGAGTCACGATTGGTTTGTGTTGGTTTTACTTCTGATTAGATGAAAAAGTGGCGCGAGATTTTTTAGCCAATCGTGTAGGCATAGTTCATAGAGGGGAATGGTTATGAAACTCGACAAAGTTCTTTGTTGTATGTTTTTGCTCTCTTTTTTGGCCTTGACCGTGCGCAAAATACAATAGTTGTTTACTAGTGACCGACCAAAAGAAATGTTTTGATTACGTAATACTTGCATAGTTTATGAGCGAAAAACAAACGATTGGACACGGTCGTGGAGCTTCCAACATAAATCTTGGCATCTCTGTTTGCTGCTTTGATGTTTGCCGGGCTTCATAACCATTCCGTTGTATTAACTATCAACTTCTAAAAAATTAGATCTGATGACGAAGAATGCAATTAAAGGTGTATATTTCTTTTCACAGTTCGTTTCAAAATAGCAGGTGGTCTGTGAGCGGTTTGGCGTCACTCACTTTTAATAACCAAACCATTTTGCAGGCGTGTCGCTGTTTTTACATTCCTTTGATTCGCTGGTTTCTTTCCAGTGACACCGCTGACCACTTTCGTCGACCTCACAATGCTCAAACCGCCTCCAACAAATCCATTTCCACGATCGTGGATATTCTCCCGCTCTCTTCTCGCATCCGGGTAACCTCTGGTGGCACTCAGGGTCCGAGTTTGGACACCCATGAGGCTTCAATCGGCATTGCCGACATCCCGCCTCGTAGTACCCTCGAAGGTTTGCTTTTTGACGCGAGGTCACTTTGTCCCATGGCTCGCGCAGGTCAGAGAATTTCGTAAACAACTTTCCACCTTCGATAATGTCGCCGTACATGAAGTATTCTGTCCCCATCTTGATCCCGAATGGTCCTGAGACATTATCATCCATGTAACTGCGAGGTGTGTAGAGTTTGGTGGTGAGTTCTGTG